CATGTTTGATATATTAGTATGGAATATTATAGTGGATGTATTAATTTATTAATTTTTAACAGTTTTATAGAAAAATATTCATATTTATTTTTTTAAATTAAGTTAATTTCTTTAATAAACTAATATAAAAACTTCGATTATTCAAAACTTAAAAAATGCAATTTACATAAATTGTTTAAATATTTACTGAAATTTAACTATAACTCTTTGTTCTTAGCAATGGAATTAAATCAGGTTTTAATTCATATTAATTGTTTAACAAATTTTTATCTTTTCGTGTAACATTATTAAATTATATCATATACAAATCTCAAGCTTACTAAACTTTTATAAAAATAAAATTACCTTTCTCATTAATTAAATTATTAATTACATATTATACATTTATTGATAGATTTAAAATGTATCTATATTACATGAGTTGTATGAATAACTTAAATATTAAACAATTTCAAATTGATTGCATTAAATATTCACTCTCCAAAAAAAAAGTATTTAATTTTAAATAAAAAATATAATATTTTTTCAAAATATGAAGTCACCATTCAAGGTGTGTTTATTGAACTTTAATATTTCTATAATTCGATTGATGTTTAATGAAATTGAAAAAAGTAAAAACATTATTAAGAGGCTGGAAATTTTATCGCTATGCAATTATCTCTTTACAATGTTATTTGTATATATTACAATTATGTTATAAATCATCATTTATATTACAGGCTAAGGATATATACTTTAAAAGGGTAAATGAAAAAAAATGGATTTTACAAAAACCAATTATTTACTTTATCACTCCACTCAGAATTTAATAATAATTCAAGGCTATTAAATATAAAAAACTTTATAATACAATTTTACAAATTAAACAATGCATATTATTAATTTCAAGGAATGGAACTATATTATAGTATATGATGTTTCAGTTCAAACAGAGTATATGCGAAGCAATAACCAGAATTAAAGTAATCTTCAGTGGGTATTTGTTTTTATACCAAAAAAAGCACATGCTATGAGTGTGTTTGGCTTACATTTCGTATAAATATTATGTAAATTACAATATAAATTTGTTTGTATTTAAATTGCATCTGCTCGAAAAAAATCGTTTATACTACACTTGTTAGTGTAAGTGATTTTTCTAAATTTGTTTTTATAATTTGTCTATACTTAGGTAGAAACTTTGATTACACGTTCCCGATAGATATCTAAAATTTTCATTTCACATGTAATAACATACGATATCATTTTTATGATGCTTTAAATATTAATTTATTCATTCAGACGTCCTTTTTCACAGTGAAATAGTTAAAATTCCCATTTTATTTTGAACATAAATATAAAGAGAAAAATTAATTTATAAATTAATCGGCGTACATAATATATTTAAAAGTATTTATAATATGTGTTTGTTTAATTCAAGTACATTGAGTAAAATATACTCAAACATTCATGAGCAATATAATCATGAGATGATTTCTGATAAAATGCAAGTATTTAAATATCTGTAAGTATTCAATGCAATTGAATAATTGTCATTGGTAGTCTATCCAATTATAAATAAAAGCGAAATTAAATTCACAATCATTTAAATATTCTCAGGCTAAATATTACACACTCATTATGTATTTTAAATTCATATTAATTTACTTGATGAATTTATTTCAATGATTGTACTGAGTTTAATTTGAAAAATAATTAGTTATAATAGTTCTGAAATTGATTACTATTATATCGTGCAAAAAATGATTATCGTAGTGGAAAAGATATAATGGTATTTGGAAACTCGTTATTATGGAAAACGTATTAAAAGTGTGAAATGTCAGTGCCAAGGTAAAATATTTATGGCATTATAAAATGTCCATGGTATTATACTATATATGTTTATCATTATCTCTATATCGTTGTATACCGTGCATTAAAATTCACAATTTAATTTATGTCACGAAACTATGCGATATTATCAGACGGCCAAATTATTTTCTTTGATTTTTTCGTTTAAATATTATTTCAATGAATAATAATATGCTTACGTAAAAAAGTCGTGTGCATCAGTGCAACAAAATACAATGGTAGAATAAACACTTGTTGAACATCTCTCGCCAATGCCCGTGTCCGACTAGTGACTGTCCAATTAATATTTTGTCAGGCAGTGACACAAACTTCCATTTTGCTCGACGAAATATTGCGTACAAATTGTATAAATATGTACAAAATATACTAGTACATATAAGTATATCATTTATGTACGATTTGTACATGATATTGCAAGTGTATTTCATAAATTATTTAAAGAACTGCCGGAAAAGCCAAGCTTGATATTAATTATTATAATACATTATTTTTTAATAGGTTACAAATTTATAAGGAGTAACGATATGCATACTACGTGTATATCATAAAAATGAGTATACCAAATGGAATCTTAAATTTGTATATAAATAAATAAACTAACCATTTATATTATTATGTTACACATTTATATTCTTCGGTATCACAACAATTATTATTATACTGTAGACATAATTTGGCTATCATTGAATGATGTTGTTATAATTATTGTTATACTTGGCGTTATATTAATGTGAAAACGACACGCTAAAAAAATTTGATCTGATGCTCGAAGTTCGCTTGTATTCTAAACGTGAACCTATTCCTTGTTTTAAAACGACAAATGTTCTAATCGGAAAAACGATTTAAAAATAGCATTTGTAAATATTAAAGCATTGGACACAGCACTCATTCTAAATGTAGCAATTATTTAAAATACTATGGTTTCAAATTTAAAATTTTCAACCTAATATTTTATTAATTTTTTTTTTATTATTAGATACAACTGGGTATTTTTTAAATTTAATGAAAAATTGTAAAACTATATAAATTCTTTGTGCAGTCGTCACGTTTTTAACTTCGAATCAGCCAAGCATTCGTAATATAAATCGCAAACTCGATTTTCAAGTATTGATCAATTTCAGATTGCTCGTCTTTATATTAAAGTATCAAAATAATAATAATAATAATAATAATAATGACAATATAATAATATTACTTTGATAACCTTTCTCTCGTCCGCTACTACCCTTTCAATTGTATCTATCAACAAACAGATAAATACAATTTGCTGGCGTGGATTATATGCTTTCATAAGACCTTGATTTTCAAAAGATATTAAAAAAGTTTTATACGTTATCAGATAAGATTTTTTTTTTAATAAAAAAATTATATCCACCCACTTATGACACTGTCTATCATATTCGTTTAATTCTTGAAACGTATCTGAAACCTTCTATACTATAGGTGGCCAACTTGCGGCTTGCGAGCCACACGTGGCTCTTGTCATTGTCAGATGCAGCTCGCGTCTTATTTACAAAATCAAAATTTACTTAATATTATTATGAATTTTAATTTTTAGGTATTAGCTTATAAAAAATCAAGTTATATAAACATAATGGTTCTTGGCATCATTGTATTTATCTATGTGGCATGCAAACCTTTTTTTGTTGGCCACCCCTGTTCTATAGTAATGAGAAATATTAATTATTTAATTGTATTATAATTATTCACGAAATTAAATGACATGTAATGTCAATCAGTTTCAATATTACATGTGAGATGAGTCTAATAATGGAATCTACAAATTCTTTAGAAAGTAAAACATGCGATACCTATGCGTGTTTCTTGTTCCTCGACTATAAGGAAGCGTGAGACCTAGGAAAGTGCTAGAACTCTAACTCACTAAATTGAACGAATATCACTTACTTAAAAATTACCAAATTAGATGAATAATTGGTCTTTATCTACGATTAACCTTAAGTTTTCACACTTAGAAAAGTTATCTGAAAAAAAAAACAATTTAGTTATCACTTATTTTTTTTTTGTTTTTTTTTTTTTTTTTTACTATTGAGAACTATTTAAATTGCAATTGATAAAAGTTAATACTGAAATATAGTTATAAATTTAAAGATTCAAAACATATAAAAAATAAACAAACTATGGTAAATTATTTTACCGAATTAGGAGTTTCTGATATAAGCCGTATGCACCCCATTATTTCACAAGAATCGTGTTATAAACACTCGTAGATAGTTATTAGGCAACCAAAACAATTCGTTATTGCGTATATTTTTTTAAATTTTTTTATCTCATTTAAATTCTCAAAGAATGGAAAATGGTACTGAGGTAGTCATACCCTCAATTTTATGCTGATCTAAAAAGGGAAAAGAATTGTTCAAAAAAATAAAATAATTTTTTTTCATCTTCCACGTTTATGGTATTAGATTATATTTGATGAAGCATATTATAAATTTGTTTTCGTTTTGTTTTAATACACACCCATAAAAATTGATATTAATAGTACGATATATATCTCGTATATGAGATTTTCAAGACTAAAATATAACCCCCAATAAATATATGTGTTTGTATATTAAATAGTTGTGCAACATATTATTTATAACATACCATATTTTGTGAATAATGAAATTTGAGAACAATGTTTTTGTCCACTTTTTAGTAAAGTAAATAATGTTAGAAAATGTCAAACAAAATAAAAATACCATCATATATTCCGAAAACAAAATACACACAATTAAATTTAAAAAAAACTTAAGATAATAAAATTATATTTCAAGATTCATACATATGAATATTAAATACTATAAATATTTTTCTATGATCTTTTTTTTTTTATTTATCTACAATTCAGAGAAATATTTTTTTTGGATTTGGGTAGATAATAATTTTCTCAACCAAAATAACACGTTCAGAAATTTGAATCATTGGAAAAAGGATTTTCATTAACATAAATCTTACCAATATTCAAACAAATAATTTATAAAATTATAATTGAAATTTATCAATAAAATATTTAAAAAAAAAATAAAACAAAATAAAATAATAAACTAAAATTACGAGGTATTTAATTTTATGCAACTTTAATTATTGATTTATAAAAAAATTGTTATTACACTTTTTTGAGTCCTAATCACTATTTATATTTTTTACAGGATGGCCTTCGGAGAAGAATGGACAAGTTAAAGAGTTCGATCGAAGAAGCCAATTTGGCTGTCGATAAAGAGAGAGAAAAGAACGTCAGCCTTTTGCACACGATTTTTCCACCAAATATTGCCAAACGGCTTTGGCTTGGTAAGTACTATAATAGTTAGTCATTTTCGTATTTTCTTTCTTTCTTTATAATTAGTTAATTTACCGTATACTCAGGCTTTGCATTATTTTAAAAGAAAGAAAATAACATAAGCACAGAACTTTGCTCATTCTGACATACGATACTACCTTGTTTAGACTACTAAAGTATTTTTTTTAATATATGTCAATGCTTTTATAACATTAAAAATATATTTTGAATATCTTTGTAATGTTTAATGGGTATATATTATGTATTGAAAAATCAAATATTTTTAAAATTCAAATAAATTATTTATTAAAAAAATTAGTAAAAGGATATTTAAAAGTTGTTCAATCTACAAGTATGCAAAAAAATTTCTCTGAAAAATTAAATTCATTTTTATTTCCGTTTGAAATAAATATTTATATTTTTCCATAATATAACTAATTATCTTCAAACAATTTTTGTTGTTTGTTGTAATTTAAAACTAAATAATTAAAAAAACTAGAAATTATTCCAAAAATGTATATTCTAATTTTCTATACATGGAAAAATTTCAAAATTTTTTAATTTATTTCGAAGTATTTATAGGCATAAAAGATTACATTCTATAAATATTGTAAAAATGATTTACTAGATTAAAATTCTTGAAAATTTAAAATACCGTATACGTTTATTTGTGTATGAAAATCATTAAAACTAATAAGCGTTATTTTTTTTTTTTTTATGCATTTGAAGTTAACTCCTTTTTTAATTCTTCAAAATATCGAAAGTCTAAAACTTACAACTATTTTGTATTAAATAAATGTATAAAATCTTCAATTTTTAAAGCTAAGACATGAAACTAATATACAATGTTTCTTATGAGTAGTTCATATTGGGAATAAAAAATCTAAAAGATATTTAAACACAATTATTTGTTATGTATATTTGTAGTTTAAATTTGAACAAAACTAAGTATTTTAACGATGAATATTAATGTTAATTATTTTGTTATAGTTCAAAAAATTATTCGTAAATACATAAAAATGTTATGCATATTATAAATTTTATTATACGCAGTGAAATTCTACAAGTATTTAGATTAACTTTAAAATATAATCTATTAATACTGTGACTCATTACTGTTTTTATAGTATTTATAGCAAGATATAATTAACTCAAAAGTTAATAACAATAATATAATATAATACATTACTATTATCGAAAATGTATACTAAAAATATGATTGATAGAATATTTTTGGAAAAAATTAAATCAACCTAACGTAATACTAAAAGTAAAATAAATAACTTAAATAGCTATATCAAAAAACATAGCATGTAATATGCTTAATAATATAGGCTGACTGCACCCTGTGTCTATTCAAATGGTTTTTCGTATATAATGATATATTATTGAATTTAAATTTAATACACCTATTACAGTCATTCATTTGACAACTAATGTGTATCAGAGTATTTATTTACTAACCACTTTTTTTTTTTAAATTCTTTAGTTCAAAATTAAGTTGTTAGTGCAAAGTGTTAACAATACTTAAATGTGACCATTCAAAGTTTTAATTTGTAACATAATATTTGACACAATATTTTTAAATACTTTAACAAAAAAAAGTATTTAAAATACTTTCTACAGAATGAATGTATTTATGTTTGTATTTAATTACAATAGTTAGAGTGTTTTTTACAATAGTGTTTCTATTGTATAATATATTTATTCCTATTACTCCTATGATAAGTTGTTGTTGATGAATTACGAGTCCAGTGTACCTATTTAAGATTAGGGTAGCATTTAATGTATTATGCACATATTAAAATGCCTACTATATAAAATAATAAAATATTTATTTCAAATCACAGATACTATGTACCTAATTGTCAACACATGTACATGGTATATAGTAATATATATAACTCTATATATTAAATTGTATTTTTTATTAATAATACAGATACAAATACTGAAACATATTAATGTAATCTATGCATATAGTTATAGTTACACGTACTCACTTTGAATAATTTAATTTGTAAATTGTTATACAATACATGTTTTTTTAAATTTATTATTGGTGATATTTTATTCTTTAACTTTGTTGAACGTAAAACTTTATACAATCTCGAAGAAAAAAATATAATTCCAAACAATTTTAAAAGAGCAATTTTAAATCCAATAAAAACTCACTAAATTCAAACGCTTCCATTTTTTACAAAAAATATGTGAGACGAAGAATTAGATTAATTTAAATTAAATTACATTACTTTTAAATTTTCTAAGATGTACTATCGAAATTTATAAAAACAGATGACTTTCGAAATAAATTAGTATACTATCGCTCACCGAGCAAAATTAAGTAAAAAATATACAAGATATGTATAAAACATTAAAGCGACGATAGATATTATAAACTTTAAATATTAAGTTAACATATTAATTATTAAATAAAATTATTCATCATTATTTTATAGTGATACTCGTGAATACGTCAAGTCGTATTGAAATTTGAAACACAGCGTAATTCATGATTTAAAAGTACCAGTATTATAACGACGTTAGTAAATATTATTTGTATAATGTATGAAAATAATAATATAATATAATATTAAAATTATCCATTTTTTTTTTTTTTTTTTTTTTGTTTATATATCTAACTTTTTAAACCATAACAGATATAAATATAAAAAATTAAAAATTCTTCAAAAATTTAGCGTGATGTCACAGCAACCCTCTACTTAAGAAATATGAAATTTTAATTTTATCAATCTTTTGCATTTTATTTTTACATATATGTACACTCAATATAAACATCTGTATACTAATAATTTTGTGAAGATCATAATAAACTTTTCAATGAAAAGGGAGAGATGACAAAAAAAAATAATAAAAGCTCACCAAAGAAGCTAAAGGTATTATCATATGATCGGATACATTATGTGATGTAATAAGTTCTATAATGATATAATCATCTTATGGCATGTATATTTTTGATTCCGTGGGAAATATTTGTACTCAATGACATTTATATTTGCATCTATCACATACTTCTATATAATGCTAGATAGTAAACTCCCGTTATCAGTTGAAGCATTGATTATTATTTGCTACCATCGGGCATTATGTTTTCAGTTGGCAAAACATCAATATAATGCATATTTATTATGTAGTTAACAGAATACATGGAACAAATACAGTTTAGCTACCCAGCAATTTTTTGGAATTTTTTTTTCAAAATGTGTGTTTTTGCATGATTTATTTGATAGTATTTAAAAAAAAAAATCGCACAATTTTCATTTTGAAGTAACGGTCAAAATAATTATATTATATTAAAAATAATATAATGTGATACTTCTACTTCAACCTGTTCACATTATATATAACTATGTAATAAAATATTAAAGTACATAACGCCCTATTATAACATAAGTATAAACTGTATTATGCTAAGGCTGAGTTTTCAACTCAAATGTTTTTCTTCATTGGTTCTGGGAATTACACAAGCATTGTGTATATTTTCTTGCTACCTCATAAGACCTTATAGTTTAAAACAATCTTATATACTTTAATATTTTAACAGTTAAAATATGATGACACGGTATTCTATATAGACAATTTAGCTACACTTCGGTCTTTGGAGCATTGTTCAAACTTCTTAAAATAATATTTGAATTTTTCGTTTATTATAATATCAAACTATGATAAATTGTATATAATATTCTTATAGTCTATGTGAAGTCTTTAAACAGCTTTCATTATTAAAGTGTTAACGATCAAACTTTTTTTACTTTAAGAAATCATTTGTATGCCACTTTTATTAAAAACTGTCCCAAATACAGATGCATAGATAAAAAAAAACAATATTTTTTTCAATCTGTTATACTTTTAGTTGTTACTATTTTACAATAAATTAATGTTTAAATTCTAGAAAAAAAAATTTCATAATTAAATAATTATAAATAAAACATAACAATATCACTATATAAAAATGTAAAAAAAAAAAATAATATAACCAATTAACCGTGTATGCTAGTTCTTGAGAAACGTGTAGGTACTTAAGTAGAGTATTATTTTATTTTAAACGTTTTGAGATCAAACAGCTACAAATAAAATAATGTTCACAGTAGTTATATCTAATACAATTTATTTGGAGTAATGTGTTTAAACATTTTTTTATAATTTCAATAATATAGGCACTTACCTATTACTAAATGTTAAACTTTGATCTCCATTAAAATATTACGACTGCTACAAATCAATTTTTACGCCTATATCTCTCTTCAATCAGTTCATTAAAATTACATTATTTCAAAAAAAAAATTCTTTTTAAAGATTCTAATAAAAAAAATCATACAATTTTAACATAAAAAATCTAAATCTAGGTACGCAATAGAAATAAAATATATTTCATGCAGCACTACGGGCGCGTATTTGCTATAATATACTAGCCGTATAAGGTTATCACATGTCTTTCGCATGTAACCCGTAGCAACGAGAATGGAAATAAAGAAAAGAGAAAACTGCTCCAACATAGGATATTTCCTACATATATATGTATACATAATAGGTTGTAGAAATGGCAAAGATACTGCAGAGCTACAACGGCTTAGTCGTGTTCTGAGCGAGTGTATTATAATATCGTTATAGGTACTATGTACAGAATGATTCACAATGCATTTTCACATCCATCTTTTCATTTAATTATTATACATTTTCTCAAATTATCATACTTAAAATTTATTAATTAAAGGAGAGTCCTACAAAGATTTTGGTTTTTTTTTTCAAATCAGTAAATCAGTACCATTCCCTTTCACGTTAACACTAAAATATAAATGAGTTTTATGAAATACTTCATACATCTTTTTAAAGCAATAATATTAGGTTCTCATTTTAAATAAAAATCTGTGTATTGCCACAGAGGACTGTATGCGACACAAAACTGTATGCATTTTAAAATACAACCTCCATATATAATTAAAAATTTCAAAAACTAAAATCAAAATCGATGTATAAATCAAGGGATGAA